GGAAACTCTGGGGAAAAGCCAGCACTGTTAAAGAGGCCGTGTTTCGCTAAACAGCAATGCAAACCTTTCTCTGTGGTATTTACATGGATTCATTATAATTATAATGTCACTGCTTTCAAAAGTACTTTTAAACTATTATCTAAAACATTTATCACCAACAGAAATGCCCTGAAAATTATATCATTGCACACAGGTGAGAGCAGTGATGCTTACCAAGATTTCAAGGAGGCTAGAACAGAGGCTCTGAGGTCATGCATGTGGCTGCCTGCCAGCGTGCCCACCACCAGATCACAGTCATTGCCTCTGTACCACTCACCAATGAAGACTTGGCTGGCAGGTTGCTGTCCATGATTCCTGTAGGCAAGCACTGGCCGGGCAGAGCATAAACTTGCCCATTTGCAGCTTCAACTACTTAAATTCCAAAGAGCATATGCCCCTGTGTGGATCACAGTCAGACACCTTGGGGGTTAGTGTGGAATCAGTTGCATAAGGGAGTGAGGATGAAGCCATGACCTTCTCATCAAACATGACTTCTGAGCCAACACAGCTATGTTTGTCCTGGAATCCTGGAGTGTAAATTTCCAGACCAGTCACCTGTACATTCTGCACAAACATTGACAGCTTTCCCATCTTGCAAACAATCTGCAGCATACAGTCTTTTGGCTTTCCATCTGGAGGCTGAATATCCTGGCATTGGACACTCATGCCCCATGCAGAGGTTGACACAGTCTTCTGATATGTGGACCATGTCCTCAACGCCTTGCCTGCTCAGGTCATCGTCATAGACCAGGTGGCCATCTGAGCACAGAATGAGCCAATTCTTCCAATAGTCCTTTAAAATCGTCCTCTGTCTCAGCAACCATCCTCTCTTTACAAATGCCTTCTTGTTACCGGTGAACACACAAGCTGTTGGCATGCCCTAAAAAAAACAACGGAATGGTGAGAGGACACTGCTGGTGTGCCTGAATCAACCACATCCACCTGTACCAGCTGCCAGTGGGGTCACTTCTGGTACAATCTTTTTGAAGGGCAATATAATTAGTACTTATCCATATTTTTCTTTTTTGTTTTACTTTTTTCCAGTTTTACTGAGAAATAATTGTATGCATAACTGTTTAAGGTTAAGGCATACAGCATAATTATTTGATTTGCATATATTATGAAATTATCCAAATTTAAGCATGCACAGATATGACTGAAAAGTTATCATTTAGCTGCAGAAATACTCATATAGTTGCCCAAAATCTACATCCAAAGATGCTCTTAGCAAGAACCTAAATACTCATCTGTAAGCTAATTATCAAATAAATCATGACACAATCATAGCATGGACTATTACTAGATGGTGACTGAAAAGTCAGATGGCTCCAGACTATGTGAAACAGTCCAAGACACGTTGTTAAAGCACAGAACAATTTAACCAGTTGAACTAATTTTTTATTAAAGAAGGAAAGTGTGTCTGTATATGCATGGGGGAAAGTCTGGGAAATGTACATAAGACATGGATGAACAGGGCCTCCCCAGTGGCGCAGAGGTTGAGCGCTGGGTTGCGAAGCTGCCCGCGGCCTCTGAGGCGCCGGTTCGATCCCCGGCTGCTTCCCGGCCACCAGAGGAGGGTCCCACATGGCACGCAGACCTCTCCTGCCGCCCGCTGCTCCCCTCAGCAGTGTACTTCGTCAGTCTGCGTGTTCTGCTCCCCACTCTGGCTCTGGTGAATTCTCTCATCCTCCCGCGCTTCTGACTGTGCCCAGTGCTTGTATAAATAAATAAATAAATGAATAAATAAATAAATCTTTAAAAAAAAAAAAAGACATGGATGAGCAGAGGGAGGAAAGCAGTCTTACAAGTTTTACTTTGTATGCCTTTGTTTTGGGGTGGCTTGTTGCTTTTTTTTACTTTGTAAATTTTTGTGTCACCTATTTTCTTCACAACATGCATGCTTTATTTTTGGTAATATTAAAGCAATTTTATTTAAGAAAAGTCTTTATTGGATTTAGCAATCAGACGTAACCTTAACAAAAACCACTTAACAAAAACCACTTCAGCACAGCAGCGGGAAGGAAGCCTGTTGCTGTGGGTTGACAGTGAACAAGAGGTCTCCAAGGGGGAGAGCAACTGCCCTCTGCTTTTTGAAGAAGTTTGCCTGTGAAAAGGCAGGAAGGAGTCAGCACCTAAAGGGCTCAGGGAACAGAGGGAGCGTGGTGAGGAAGACTCGAGCAAGGTCAGGGGCTGAAGAGAAAGGGGTTGAGAGCCAGAGGGGCCAGGAATCAGGATGCTGGATATGAGAAGCAGGTGCAGGGGCTAACCAGAAAGAGAAGGAGCAACACTTCTCATGCTGACCCTAGAAGGAAAGAAGAAAGTGTGCCTGTAAGTTCAGCCAAGTTAGTCAACTGGGGACTGGAGGGAGCCCTATATCTTCCTTATAAAGAAGGAGGAGCAAGTTCAAAACAGTCAAGTTCAAAACCAGAATAGCTGCTCCTCCAGAAGCCATTAGACAGGCAAGGGTGAAAATTCCCAGCACTTGTTACAGAATCACCAGGGAGAGCCTGGACTTGGAATTGGAAGTCCAAGGATAGACCTCATTTCTCCTCTGTGGGAACACCTCCCCTAGTGGGCCTCCTGGATTTCCCCTTGGTAATCCCAGGTCAGAAGTTTCCCCATAAAGCCTGCTTCACTTTGTTCCTGTCCAACAGCTCCAACTTCTCCCAAGCCCTGAGTCACAGTGGAGGCATCAGCAGCCACTCCAGTCACGACGGCAGCTGCAACAGGTAGGTGAGTTGTGCAGTCTTAGGGCTGCTGGGGACATGGATGGGTCTTGGAAACTTCGGTCTCCTCCTCCAAGTTGTCTGAGAACTGAGGTGATGAACTGCAGAAGCTCAGAGCTACAGATAACTAAGTCTCCTCCTAGGCAGCCCTGAACTAAAGAACTTCGGCAATAATGGTACGTTCTATGTCTGCTCTGTCGTAGATAACGGTAGCCCCTAGTCACAGTGACAATCAAGCACTTGAAACATGGCTGGTATGATTGTGGAACTAAATTTTTAAATTTTTAATTAATTTAAATTTAAGTAGCCACCAATGGTTAGTAACTACCCCATTGGAGAGTACAAGATAGAAGAATCTCCTCACTTTCCAAAAGACCACATCAAGGTCCAGAGAATGATGACTTTTCCAAGCTCACCCTCACCAAGCACAGCCCAGGATTGGAAGCCAGTCCTTTATTTATCCCACTATCCCCCAGGCATGTGGTGGGCTCAGTGGAAATGAAATTAACTTTAATCAGATGAATCAAAAAGTGGATCGGTTAGGAAATGTCAAATCTATGTCTGGGAAAGAGAGGGGACTAACAACACTCAGAAACCTGAGACTGGGCCCCAATCCCAGTTTGCAATGGACAGAATATAGGACTTGAAAGCAAGTAAAATAAATTGCTTTAAAACTGCTTTAAACCTAATTCTACTGTGTCATTCTAGGTTAGTTGCTTAACTCCCAGAGCCTTAGTTTCCTCATGCAGAAGAAGTATATTTCATGGGGTTGTTGTGAGGATTAAATGATACTTTCCCAGAAGCTAGAACATGGGTAGCACTCAACAGCACAACTGATGTAATTAATTATTAAGCAAATTAAGATACGCATCAAATCAGCCTGACTGGCCAGCCATCAGATCCTCTGATGGGGGCCTGTATTGGGAGCAATTTTGGCTGATAGTTATCAACTATTTCTATAATAATGGTCATGACAAGGATGCTAACACTATGCGCTGTATGTGACTTAAGTGCTTTTAGGAAAACCCTCATTTCATCTCTGTCCAAAAATCATTCGCCTCATTTTATAGAGGAGAAAACTGAAACTCAGAAAGAAAAAGTCACTTGCCCAGAGTCACTCAGCTGGCTCCTACCTGCCCCTCTCTCTCTCTCCACGTGTGATGAGCATCTGGTTTTAGACTCACCTAGCCAGGACTCATCGCAACATGGGAAGAGAGAGGTGGCAATCCCTGAGAACATTTGTTAAACAGTGGAACTTGATGTTTCTCTCCTCACGGCAGGCCTCTTCGGTGAGTTTGCCACAGGTTTTGAGCATTCTCTGAACCCTGGGATACACGCAGCTATAGGTCGGGGTCAGAATAGTGGAGGGCATTAGGTTCATTGAGGGTTAAGAGGGGATGGTTAATTAGTATTCCCTGGTCTGCCTCTATTATCCTTCTGATTGGAAACAATAGCAAATGCGACAAAACATATTCTTAGAGTCACTCAACAGTTTTCAAAAATGTACTTGGAATTGGATAGCATTTTTACAGTTAGTAAAGGCTCTCTTTCCAAATCAGAAAGTCTCACCTCCCACGATGGTAGCTACTGCAGACCCAATCCTAAATGTATAAGCCAAGGAAGAATGGCAGCACCCTAAGAGGGGCTCATGGTCAGGGTGGATGTTTGTGGAGGGAGGTGAAAGACGAGACAGGAGAAAGGAGGCCCCTATTGTGGAAGGGGTTCTCAAAGGAATGTGGCATGGAGAAGGAGTGGGTGGGGTGGAGAGCAGGGGCATTAGGTCGGAGCAGAAAGCTATCAGAAGGTTAAACTCCATCTCTGTTGTCTTAAGAACAGTTCCCCTTTAAGATGTGAAAGACCTTCAAGGGCAGGAGGGCAGCTGAAAGTAAGGACAGAGAAGCCAGAGGCAGCTGAAGTGAGGGGACAGACAAGTCAGCTGAAAAATACAGCTGAGATCAGGGCAAAGACAAAAGAAATCCATGCGGTCCTGGGCAAAGCATTTCCTTGACGCGGGCCTAAATTTCCTCATCTGTGAAAGGGAAAGATTGTCTAGAAAAGGCATGGGTCCTTTCCCAGTATGAAGCCCACCTGTCCATCGAATGACTAGCTACCAAAGAGCTGACCTGGAAATTAATTATTTGACTTATTAAAACATCCTGCACCCTCAAGGGCTCCACCCCAGAGTTGAGTAATCAAATCCACCACGCACTTCCTCCACTGGGTTCTCATCAACACCGCCCTGTGAGTCTGCTCATCTAACCTCTGAAGGTGTCTTCAGGTGAAAAGCTCAGAATCCTGGTAAGTCTTGGCATGCCCACTCCTGCCACCATCCAGAATGTCTCTGTTCTCTGTCTCCCTTGACAAACTAACTCCACTTACCCCGGGGATCTATCCCCACCCTTGGTGGGCCTTTGCCCACCCTCCTCAGTCTCTACATTCTCTCTTTAAGCCTCCCAACCCCAAAGGGAGAACCCCCGTCCCTCTTCCCTGCACCCTTTGTGAACAGTCACTTAAGGCAACTGACACTGCCACCTCCTTCCTGCCAGTGTCAGCCAGCTCCCCTGCCTTGAAAGGAGTGGGTCAGAGCAAGAGCCAGACATTGTCAGGTTCCTGCTCCCCTATATTAAATGCAAATGTGTGCATGGATTATATTTATAAAGAGAAAGAATACTGGAATTGAACTAAAATAACTGAATTTGTTGTTGTTAAAAAGGTTGCTTTAAGTGTTTAGGGTCTTATAAATGTCTCCATTCTGTAGCATTTTCATGAAATAAATTAGAATTATCCCATCCATGGGGTTTCTGATACTACGTGAGTCATTAAGGGGCTGGCAGATTTGCTTAACAGGGGACTTTGCTGCTAGGTCACTGAAAGTATGTCTGGGTGGTCCATAGGGACCAGCCAGGTCAAGGTCTTTTGGTTTATCACTCCTGAAAATATCTTTAATTCTGGGCCTATAGAATACGAAAGAAAGCAAAGCACAAAACGTCCAGCAGTGGACATGAACTATGTACAGGTGGACTTAGTCTCAAGAACTTAGCTTACAAATATATTTAATGTATGATGTGTGCTTTTGTGGAGCAGGTCTGTAGCCTGAACGTAGAGCACGAGCCATGCATACATGATTGCCTCCTGACCCCAGTACTCACAGCGACTGGTTTCTGGGCCTCTGCCCATCTTCAACAGTAAGCAGAAACCAGTCATGTCTATTTGTAATGACTAAGGAACATCAGATACCTGTACAGAGCAGATTTTACATGTGTCACCTCCCTTTTCTTAGTTTCTCCCTTTAACTGTCAAAACATCCTCTCTAGAGATTAGTAAATTTAAAAATGAACAAACAACAAAACATCCTCCCTCCCATGACTGGGATTGTTGTCTACTGGTCCTGCTCTTGAAGGTCTTTCACATCTTAAAGGGGAACTGTTCTTAAGACAACAGAGATGGAGTTTAACCTTCTGATATCTTTCTGCTCCGACCTAATGCCCCTGCTCTCCACCCCACCCACTCCTTCTCCCAGTTCTCTCTTTTCTGCATTCTGCATTGCATGGTCTCTGGCCAGGACCTCAAGTGGATCCTTCACGTGGGAGTGTGAGATCACCCTTACATCTCCAGCTCAGCCGGGCACTGGATTATCCAGATGAGGATTTTCTGTAAAACATAATTAACCACTGCTGCCTTCTCCTCTGGGCAGTTTCTGCAGCTGCCCAGCCCTGCCTTCTAGTAGCTGATGCCTATAAACGTGGGAGTCTGTTCCCTGCATCCCTCATGATCTGCTTCCATGTTGACACATGGATCTTAAGATCATTCCTGATTATCACATCCATTACTAACATCTCTGACCATCTGCTCTAGAGGTGACTCACCCTTGACCTCATGACTTCTTTAGCCATACTCTGGTCCTCTGAGCAAACTTGTTCTTGGTCCTGGACCTGCAGAGTCAGTGGCTTCTCTCAGGTCTTACTGACAGGTATTCTCTCTGTACCATCTGCCTCGCCCCCTATCATCATATCCTCCCAACCAGCCAGGGCTCCACCCTCATTATCACCTCTTTCTAGGTCTCATTATGCTGACCAGGCAGCTTAGCTGCCCTCCATCATTTAGGAGAAAGCAATACCTTCCCAGCAAGGTGATGGCTAAGAAATCTATCACTTTTCAGGGGAGTGGGCAATATTTTTCCAGGTCCTCCTAATCCCATTCAGCTTTCTACTTTGCTATATAGGATTGACAATAACAAACTTTCTTCTACTAATGAAAAAAAAATTCCAGGACTTTGTTGTTGTTATTTTAATATTTGTATTTGCTTTGAAAGGATATACACCCATTGGTTGAGATGTAATTCACACACCATAAAAGTCACCCATTTAATATGACAATCTAGTGGTATTTAGTATATTCATAAAGTTGTACAACCTTCATCACTGTCAAACTCCAGGACATTTTGTACTCAGTAACATTCTCCTCAGCCCCTGGAAACCACTAACCTACTTTCTATCTCTACTGGTTTGCATATTCTAATCATTTCACTTACATGGAAACATATGGTATGAAGTCTTTTGTTTCTGGCTTTTTTTTCTTTTCTTTTCTTTTTTTTTTTTTTTTTTTTTTGCTTAGAATAACATTTTCAAGTTTCATCCATGTTGTAGGATGTACTTCATTCCTTTTTATGGTTAAATAATATTACATCGTATGTGTACACAGTTTATCTGTCCACCAGTTGATGGACATTTGGGTTGTCTCTACTTTTTAGCTATTATGAAGAATGCTGTTGTGTGTGCTCACTTACAAGTCTTTGTGTGGCCATTTTCAATTCTCCTGTGTTTTTATTTGCAGTGGAACTGCTGGGTCATATGATTTAAATTTTTGAACAACTGCCAAACTGTTTTCCAAAGCAGTTGCCCTAGTTCACATTCCTGCCAGCAATATATATATGATCTCTCCACATCCACATCAATATCTTTATTGTCCATTTTTTAAAAAATTGCCATCCTTCCAGCAAGTGTGAAGTATTTCGTAGGACCTTTTACTTCTTTCTTTACTCTATAACACTGGGTTTTGTTTTCAGGTGGGCAGAGACTTGGGTATGGTGATAGGATTGTCATATCTGTTAATAAAGAAGTAGCACTAACATGATGTATTTTGTGGTTCAAAAGGAAGTTAATTCAGTAGCTGGTTTATGTAAGTTTACTTCCTCTTTGAAAACTGGGATAATAGGTCAGAATGGCTGCAGCTTCCCCTAGAAGCAGGTTCTCTCTTACCCTGTAATGAGGGCAGAACCCACCAAGTTTGGTTTACCCGAGGGTGCAGGGGAGCTAGGGAAGGATGAGGGCATGCAATGGCAGGACAAGAAGGGTCCCCACCGAAACATGGATAATGTGTCTCCACCTGTCTTCTCTGCTTCCTGTTGCCCCCACCCCAGCCTGCTGGCAGCACCCTGGCTTTCTCTGCTCACTCCTGTTCATTCTACCCATTTGGAGAAAGTCAGTCACCTCCTTATTATTTTTAGTATATTTCTTCAGACTACACAAACATCCCCAGAGCAGGTGACCTGTAACCCTCCCCTCAAATGGTGGCCTGTATCAACTGTAAATATGCCTCTTGCTCAAGCCTCCTGAAATGCTATGCTCTATCACACAAACTGTCTTTCCAGAACGCTTCTATTAACCTTCAGAAAGTTGGACAGAAGGATTCAACTCTCAGCTGTGTAGTCAAACCTTCATCATTTTCTAGGGTTCCAACCCAGTTGGATTGCCTGCCTCATCTCCCAGACTGAGAACTGAAAGTGTTTCTAACTTTAAATCCAGCCTCAACTGTCAGAGATGCTCACCACTGAGACATCCCAGACAAGTAGTCCTGGATCCAGAGGGGATTCAACAAATTTTGGGTGATGACACCATGAGAAGTGCTATGGACCTCTCTCTCTGACTTTGAAGGGACTGTACTCTGTTCGTAAGACAGATCATTTACCCCTAAATATGTTTCATAACTTTATTTTTTTTCACTTTTTTTTTTTAAGATTTATTTATACAAGAACCAGGGTACAGGCCAGATGCGCGGGAGGGTGAGAGGATTCACCAGAGACAGAGTGGGGAGCAGAGCAGGCAGAAGGACTGAAGTACACTGCTGAGGGGAGCAGCGGGCAAGACAGGAGAGGGCTGCTCACTAGGTGGGTTGCTCAGAGGCCGGCAGGGATCGAACCGGCGCTGCAGAGGCTGCGGACAGCTTCACAGCGCTGTGCTCAAACACCTGTGCCACCAGGGAGGCCCTGTTTCATAACTTTAGAGCCCCATTTTCTGAGGTGAACTTACTTCCATGTGCTATACAAACTAGTGCAAGGACTCCTACCTGAGGTTCATGGGGTGTCAGGCTAGAGTCTGGGGAAACTTAGCTGCGCAGTAACCCCATCATCTCTCTCCCTAGGCCAAGATTTAAGTGTACCTCAAATATGGAAGCTTTTAACTGGGAGTATTATGACTTCGAAAACTTCACTGGTAATTACAGTTACAACACTGAACTGCCTGATATTCAACCAGACTCTGCCCCCTGCTTGCCAGAATCTTGGGAAATCAACAAGTATGCAGTGGTTGTTATATATGTTCTGGTGTTTCTGCTGAGCCTGCTGGGGAACTTTCTGGTGATTCTGGTCGTGTTATACAGCCAGATCAGCCGCTCTGTCACCGATGTCTACTTGCTGAACCTGGCCGTGGCTGACTTCCTCTTTGCCTTGACCCTGCCTATCTGGGCTGCTTCCAAGGCAAAGGGCTGGATCTTTGGCACAACCTTGTGCAAGCTGGTCTCACTCCTGAAGGAGATCAACTTTTACAGCAGCATCCTGCTGCTGGCCTGTATCAGCGTGGACCGCTACCTGGCCATTGTCCACGCCACACGCACACTGACCCAGAAGCGGCACTGGGTCAAGTTCATCTGCCTAGGCATCTGGACCTTGTCCTTTATCTTGTCCATGCCCCTCTTCCTCTTCCGCAAGCAAATTCACCCACCCTCCTTCAGCCCAGTCTGCTATGAGGACATGGGAGCTAATACAACAAAATGGCGGATTATCATGCGGGCCCTGCCCCAGACATTTGGCTTTCTCCTGCCACTGCTGGTCATGCTGTTCTGCTACGGATTCACCCTGCGCACACTGTTTGCCGCCCACATGGGGCAGAAGCACCGGGCCATGAGGGTCATCTTTGCTGTGGTGCTCATCTTCCTGCTCTGCTGGCTGCCCTACAACCTGGTGCTGGTGGCGGACACGCTCATGAGGTTGGGGGTGATCCAGGAAACCTGTGCACGGCGCAACCACATTGGCCGGGCCCTGGATGCCACCGAGATTCTGGGCTTTTTCCACAGCTGCCTCAATCCCTTCATCTATGCCTTCATTGGCCAGAAGTTTCGCCACGGCCTCCTCAAGATCATGGCCAGCCATGGCCTGATCAGCAAGGAGTACTTGGCCAAGGAGGGCAGGCCTTCCTTTGTTGGCTCTTCTTCAGGGAACACGTCAACGACCCTTTAAAACCCCACCCCCATGGCAGCCCCTTGAGGCTCCTCCCTTCCTTTCAGCATCTCATGCCAAGGCTCATGGGCACTGGATGATCATGGCCTCTGTGCCAAGGCAGCCCCCATTGTGGTCACAGGAAGTTGCTGAAGCCATATTCTTACCAGGCCCCATTGTATGGTTTAGTAAGCCTGCCTGGTGCTCCACTCCTTACTGTGTAATTACTATGTCAACTGCTAGAGCTCTGTCCATCCTGCCACTGACCCCACAGCATTCTGTCTTTGGAGTATTTTAAGGACATTCTTTGAAGTGACTACAAAAAGTTCCCACTATTGGGAACCATTAGTGGCAAATACCATGGGTTTCCTTGCCTGTTAGGGTGTCTACCTCCCAAGAGAGAGGCCAAAAAAATCAGATTGTTTCTAAGACTCCTGTAAGCTAGAAGTGAGCATATCATCTGATTCTGACTAACAAGACCTCCAGGCAAGAGTGTGCTGGTATAATGCTCCTTCCATCCTGGACCCAGAAGGGTGATGTGGCTGGGGCTTCGCCAGCCTCACTATGTCTGCCATTTTCAATTTTCAGAGTCTTCTGACTGTAATCTTGCTGCTTATAGGTACCTGTGCTTACATCCAATCTTTGGCACCGAACATCCTGGACAGAAATAAAACTGAATTGTTGGGTATATTTTGGAAGTGTGCCAGAATTGGTGAACGGAAGAATTCTTATGTAACAGTGTGCTGTATAGTGATAGCCTTCAGCATCCTCTTCATAAAGTAGCTTGGCAAAATGCCAGAATCTAACAGCGATCAGATTTCAATGTATAAAAGGACTTATCAACAGAAAATAATGGAAAGAATGGTTTACCCTTTTATCTTGGAACACTGAATGAGATAAATTTCCAGTTGCTGTTCTCTATTTCTTGTTATTGGACCAAAGTTCTATATAAATAATTAGGATATAATCATTTAATACTGAAGAGTTTACTATGTCTGTAACAACCTCAGTACTGTCACTACAATATTGCATTCTGCAAATGTCATTCTGTTGTATCGGACACCAGCTTTTGGTAAGGTATCTCAGAGCGCATAGTAGGAAAAAAATTGGTAAATAGCTCAAGTTTCTTTCACTGTGATTTGGAAATGATAAATCTTTATAGAATGAGACTTTTTGGACTAAGATTTTTTAATGAAAAAAGTTTCAATTTGTGTTGGTAAGGATTGCATTCATATTTAATGTAATGTTTGCTTTTTTTCTGGCCACACCATTTCAAGCATGAACCAGAGTACCACTATGCTTAACAAACTTTCTACTTTACTGCAGGTGTTTAAACAATTTACAGTAAACCAATACAGTTCTTAAGGAAGAAGATAAATGAGATATAATTTAAGAGCAGTATTAGGAAAACATTTACATTTAACAAAAGAATTTAGAATTACCAATTCACATAGTAGCCTATAAAACATCTCTGGTCAAGTATGAATAAATGTCTTAAGTATAAATTTGACCAGCTAACTGTTCTCTGAAAAATATTACATTCTTAGAAGAAAAGAACAAAATAGAACAATTAAAGTACATTAAAAAAAAAGAGTGTGCTGGTAAATCACTCTCCAGGGGAAAGTCCTGATGTGTAGCATTCTCTAGGCTCCATGGTGTAAATACTCCTACCATGGTGATTTCATGTGATGGTATGAGCAACCAGCTCAAAACATTCTGTTTATAATAATCTGTTTTAACAAGCAGGTATAAAATGGCTTTAGTGCATCATTGCACAAGAGAAAGTCTATTGGGGTCAAGGGGCTTATGGAAAAAATTCAGGATTAAAAAAAAGAGAAAGACACACAATGCACATACATCCTTGGTTCTTGCTTTTGAATATGGTTATACATTATGATGTGTGGAACTGAGGCAGGCAGCCACTATATGACAATGAGGCCAAAACTCCAAAATGTTCAGGCCTACCCAAATGATACAAAGAACAGAGACTAAAGAGCCCAGAAATAAACCAAAACTTAAATGATCAACTAATTTCAACAAGGGTGCCAAAACTATCTAATAGGGAGAGGATAGTTTTTCACAAAATCATGCTGGGAAACTAGATATTCAATGCAAAAGAATGATATTAGATCCTTACCTCACAGCACACACAAAAATTAACTCAACATGAATCAAAGACCTAAAATAAGAGCTAAAACCGTAAAACAGGAGGAAGCTTAAAACCTTCATTATGTTGGATTTGACCATGATTTGTTGGCTATGACAACAAATGACAGGCAAGAATAGAAAAAATAGATTAATTAGGCTTTATCAAAGTTAAAAACATTTGTGCATCAAGGACACTGTTAACATAGCTAAAAGAGGAGCTAAAAGAATTGGAGAAAACAATGGCAAATCAGAATCTGGTAAAGGGTTAATATGCACATATACAGAGAATTTGTATACAACAGCACAAAAAAATGAAAAGAAAATTTCAAAAATGGGCTATACAAATAGCCCATCACCAATAGGTAGGGAAATGCAAATCAAAACTACAATGAGATACCACCTCACAATCGTGAGGATGGCTACTATCAATAAAAGACAGCTGTTGGTGAGGATATGGAGAAACTGGCCCTTCTGTACAATGCTAATGGAATGTGAAGGAGTTCGGCTTCTATGGAAAACAGGGTGGCAATTCCTCAAAAAATTAAACACAGAATTAGCAAGTGATCCAGAAATTCCATGTCTAAACATATATGCAAAAAAAGCAGACTCACATAGATATTCGTACACTCATGTTCATAGCAGCGTTATTCACAAGAACAGAAAGGAAGAAGTAACCTGAGTGGTGATTGACAGATGCATGGGTGAGCAACAAGTAGTGAATACACACAATGGAGTATTATTTCATCTTGAAAGGAAATGAAATTCTGATATAAGCTACAAAATGGATGAACCTTGAAGCTATGCAAAGGGAAACAAGCCAGACACAAGCATTGTATGATTCCAAGTCTATGAGATCCAAATTCATGGATACAGATTGTCAAAAGGTGGTTGCCAAAGACTGGGGAGTTATTGTTTAATGGATACAGAATTCAGTTTGAATTATGAAAAGTTTCTGGAGGGGGATAGTGGTGATCATTAGAGAACAATGTGAATGTACTAAACTGTAGACTTTAAAATAGTAAATTGCATTTTATGTATATTTTGCCACAATTTAAAAAAAACAAAACTTAGTTCCAAAAAGGCAAGTTTTAACCTCTGAATCAACCCTGGAACCACCTTCCTATAAATTCATTTTAAATGAGATAATAAAATGTTTTTTGTATAAACCACTTTTAGCTGGGTATTTCATGACTGTCAATTAAAAGCACCCAAACTGTTATGGAGAAGTTGGTCAAGGGTGAAGGGCGGTGTCCCAAATGAGAGTCTTTACATAAATCTCTCTGCTGTTTATTGGGAACATAGAAAAAGGATTGAAATAGAGATGGAGCTTTCTACCATGATCATCCCCAGCCCAAGACTCCCGCTGCTGAACATTTGTCATGGAAGAAACCATGGCCTGGGGTCATCGAGAGCTTCTCATGTATTCAGAGTTAAAAAGTAGTCAAGAGCCTCAAGGGTGGGCCTGAGAAGGGCTGGGTGAGCTCACCAAGTCAGCCGCACCGGGGTTGTCCTGAACTCAACCAACAACTCCCAGCTCAGTCTCCCTTGCACTCTCTTCTCTCCTGCCCAAAACACACACACTCTCTCTCTCTCTCTCTCTCTCTCTCTCTCTCTCTCTCTCTCTCTCTCTCTCAGGGTTTAGCAGTAGTGCAGAATGGGGGAAATGATTTCTAAAATGTCATCCAGACAAAATGAGGAATTTTACTCATTCCTTCTGCAATATTTATTGAATGCTTACTGTTCCAGGACTTTGAGATAACAGCAACAATCAAAACAGACAGGGTTTTACCCTGTCTGAGCACCTGTTCACAGGATATATTTCTGATTGGCCTTTGTTAGGGTGGCTCTGGCTCCGAGCAACCTGCTAAAGGAAATGAGAAAGCCAGGAAACTGAACTGAACAGTTCCCAAACCTCACCAAAATTTTACCAAATTCCAATGCCCTTCCAATGATCCTGAAGTCAGCAACCTTGGCTCTGAAAAGCCTCCTCTCCAGAAAGGCAGGAGCAAGCTCTGGGCTGGAGTGCTGACTAGCAGGCACCGGCCACTCCTAACTCAGGAAAGCGTTGCCTTTTGCATTCAGCAGGCAGGATTAATTCAGCACCAAGAACCCCTTGTTTCTAGCTTACTCTAATCTATGCCAAGCACTGTGCTAAGCTCAGGATCAATGGTGACTTAGTTGTTCTGGCTGACACTTCAGAACAGCTTCTGATTCACCAGGAGAGAAAGGCAGGGGGACGTGTTTTTACCAAACACCTGAGTTGCCAGAGGGAGCGGTGGTGTTCTCACCAGGCAGGGCAGAGGGACCAGCCCGCTCCCTGAAATGAGCGTCAGTGGGAGGAAGCCAAGTGAGTTTTACTCCGGTTCCAGGTCTGCTCTTGCCTCCCCTCGCAAAGTCTAGAGAAAGCGTGACTGTCCAAGGAAAATAAGAATGTGCAATGAGGCGGAGCAATGGGGCAGAGACCAAGTTGCATTAAAATGAGTGGTTAATCTCTCTATAAAGACAGTCTTGGCAGAAATACTCTACCAACCAAGTCATCACCAGGACAAGGCAAATCCAGGACCTGCCTGAGTTGTTGGTGTCTCCCCTCCAGTGTTTCCAGGCCTCAGTCCCACTGTGCCAGGGCCAACACCTTTCAGCTTAGACCTGCCCGCACCCTCTGAGCTGGCCCTTCTGGCTCCCTCAGACCTGTTCTTCTGCCTATACTGTCTGCCTTTTTTCTCTGCCCTCCATCTTCCTCTATCCGCCCCCCACCCCAGTCTCTACAAGATGGTCTCTTTTTGCTAATTCAATTGGGTCAGCCTCCGGTCTCTTGAGTTGTAGGGTCCAGGAATGGACACGGTGCAGGTTTTCTGATCCCATGAAGACCGGGTAAATGAAGAGTCAGAGTTCTCATTGGCTTTTTGCGGGTCTTTTATTGGGATTTAGCAGGTACATGGCAGGCAGGAGTGCTGGGGGGCCAGGAGGCTGGCAGTCCTCCCAGCCCCCAGCAAATCTTCACTTTATCTGGGCTCTCTGGCGTTCTCTCTGCTTCTGCTTCTGCTTCTCTGGCTTCTCTCTCGGCTTCTACTGGCGTCCCCGTGATGCCGCCCTTAAAAGCCCAGTCTCAGCCCAGGTGAATCCCATCTACCTATGCCCACACCCTACTCCAGGTGCCCGCCATCAGGCATGCATTCAGGACCGCAAGGATCCATCATCTATCCTGATGGCGGAAGGGCAGAAAAGCCTGACATTTTTCCTTACCCTACGTGGGTGATAGGAAGATGTGCCCCCAGTTTGCAGGTCACGTTGAAACTCATCTCATGGAGACCCACATAGAAAACAGCACCCCCAGGCAACAGCAAAGTCAGAAGAGACCTAGAGATAGCCAGGGGCTGCCCCTTTCAATATATAAACAAGGGAACAGGCCCAAACCAGGTAATTTAACCAAAATCTCATGGCTGGATAGTAGTGATACTGGCATATTAAAAAAAAAACCCAGTTCAGTTTGATTTTTTAGATATTTTGTTTTTCTAATGACTTTCCGTATCAATGAACCTGGATATTTCAGCATTCCACCCTGCAGCCAAGCTACGTCAGTGCCCACACTCGACTGTGCCTGGCACTGAGGTTGTTGGAGCCTCAGCAGCTGGGACTTAGGGGCACAGGTATGGCAGCAGGCTCAGATGGGGTAACTGTATTGTGAAGTTCAATCTGTCAGTAGATAGAGCCCAATGCAAAGTTCAAAGACAGCCAAAACTAACCCCTCTACTGAGGACACAAGCTCTATCACCCTGGGTTCAATTAGAAAACCCAAACCACTAGGAGGAGGAGTTCGTTATGGGGATTGGACTGCACACAGTTGGGAGAGCTGGTTAAAGGTCAGAATGCTGCCTTTTCCTCTGGTGCTAACACCTGAGAGTAGCAGGACAAACAGCCAAGAAGGAAAGATGGACATTGTAGGGTAAGGAAAAATGTCAGACTTTTCTGCCCTCACACCGTCAGGATAGATAATGGATCCTTGCGGTCCTGAATGCATGCCTGATGGCGGGCACTTGGAATAGGGTGTGGGCAGATGGGATTCACCTGGGCTAAGACTGGACTTTTAAGGGCAGCGTCACAGGGATGCTAGCAAAAGCCGAGAGGGAAGCAAGAGAAGCAGAAGCTGAGAGAAGGCCGGAGAGCCCAGAGTGAAGACCAGCTGGGGGCTGGAGGTC